TCTGATGTTGATTGTTCACATTCATGATCAAAACAGGTTTATCTCATGTTTTCTCCTGGTGCTTTTCTCTTTTAATACAACTGCCTGCTGTAGCAAGGGATAGGGAAGAAGAAAGATTTAAATAATGACAGGAAGTAAAAAAGGCATTAATAATAAATGTATCAAATAGGCAAAAGGATAATTGCAGAAATTCTGGGGTGCAAAAAGGCAGGGGTGGGAAAGATCTGCTATTTCTAGATTAAAGTCTAATATATAACCAGGGGAAATTGAGGTTTTTTAGATGCAGTTTAGATTGCAGGGTTTTTTACACCCTTGCAAATGTTATGCTTTAGACCTGCAAGTTCATAGAGTCTGGTGTGCAGAGCCAAGGCCTCCACAGTAATTCCAGTTAGGGGCTGGAGAGTGTGTGGTGGCTCTGGAGTAATTTTGAGAATTTACACCAGACTGAAAGGTTTGGGACTGCTCTTTTTCATGGTGACTTTTGGAAGAAAACAAGAGCATTGTTAAGGGTTTTGACAAGCTGTGGGGGCTTTGGGGAAGGTACAGTTGGTGGGCCAGAAGTAATTTTATGAAATCTGTCCAGAACAAAAAGTGAAATGAAGGTACCTTCTGGAAAAAAATCACAAAACCTATTGGGTTGTGGATTTTTATCCACTTTTCTTCATTCCAGCATTTTTTTTCTGCACATTCATGAAGAAGGTACCTGTGAGGGGCACATGGTATTTTTTATAAGCAAAATTTGAATCTGACATCCTGTTCCTATCATTGCTAGTTCTGCTTCCAGCTCTGGAGGTTTTAGACAAAAGCACTCCTGACACAACTGATTTGTCTGCACTGCTCATTTATTTTCTCACAGGACCCCGTGGTTAAACCACTTTGTTGTTGATACTTTTTACAGCGATGTAGAAATGCTTGCCCTAGGATCTGAGCCATAACCTCATGAGGTGGGAGAGGATTGTATAATAGCACCATGACAAACCAGCTCAGGACTGCAGGATGTTGGAGTGGTTCCCCACAGAAAAGTAAATGGTTTGTTTTTAAATCGTTACAACAACCATTTGCTCTAGAAATTTCCATCCTTTTGGACTTTTTTTTTTTCCTGTGGAGGAGAGAAACTCAGTTTATGTACTTACAGTTATTTTTAAAATTTCTAAGTAAAAGTTTAACATTAGTAGTCCAGCCCTAAGCAGAAGCTTTTTATTTATATGTTTGATATAAGAAGAATTGTAAAAATATTATAATATCACATATTTTATTTGCAACACTGCTTGGACTTTAAGTGCTGGAAAATAATTCTTAGTGGTATCCATCAGGAAGATTAGCTGCTTTTCTTCCACCTTTTGATTTTTTGCCTAATTCCAACAATATATGCATAAATTAGTTCCTTTAATGGAATCACAATACTGATTTTTGGCATTTTCTTGCCAAGACTTGTCACAAAAATGCACACTGAAATGAACAGCAGCTGCAGTGGGAGGTCAGGTCGAATTAAAGGGGGAACATAGAAAATGTCCTTCTAGGTGAACTGATCCCATAGGTTTCATCAGCAGGACACTGCAGAGATTGTTCTGGGTTTGAATGTTCAAAGGGCTGCAACGGAACCAAGCAACTAAACTGGGTTTGGCAAGTAGGAGGGATTTTGGATTGTGTCTCCTTCTTCTTCTGAAGAGTTGAGCTCTCAAATGATCTGATGGAAATTCCAAATAATAAGAACTGCAGCATGTTTTAGGTTGGAGTAGACCTCTGTGTCCAGCAGAGAACATCACTAATTAAAGCAGCCTGCTCAAGGCCTTGTCCAGCTGCATTTTCAGTATCTTCAAGGATGGAGATGCCACAGTCTCTTGGCAGCCTGTTCTGGCATTTGGTGCACCTCATTATGAAAAGAATTTTCCTGATCTCTAATCAGAATTTTCTATGTTCCATTTTACATCTGTCATCTCCTGTCCTGTCCCCTCCAATGGCTTCATGCCCTGTATTTCCTTCTGCAGAGCAATTTTAAAGAAGCCTCCTCTTTTTCAGGCTGAACCAGCCCAATTCCATCAGCCAGTTCTCGATAGCTGCTGCCCAGTGTTGATAGCAGCTTGTTCCACCTGGAGTCGAGTGACAGAAGCACACAGCCTCTTCCATTTGACTCCAGAATTCTCTCTGAGGGACTCTGTGCTTTTTGCTGGCCAGGCCCAGCCCAGAGGGAGGCGTGTGGCTCCCCTGAGGCCTGGGGATCACATCACCAAGAAACTCCCCGGCCTGGCACGGCCCACCGGTTCTTACCCTCCTACGGTTCTGAGTGGGCAGCAGCAAAGTCAGAAGGGATGAGGACAATGAGAAGGGGCCTCTGAGCCTTGGGAAAAGTGGCCAAGAGATCTGGAGCACGAGTTGTGTTCTCTTCTTGCTGCCATTTGCAGGGAATGATGGAGCAAGAGGCAGGAAAGCCGTGCAGACGAGCACCTGGCTCCAAGACCGGTGTAAACAGCAGCATTTTGTGGTTTTTGATCCTGGGTCAGTTTATACAACACTGAGCTCCTGGCAGCAAATGGGCTCCACCTGGACCTGAAGGGAAAAGGGGTTTTAGCTCAGGACTCAGCAGGGCTCACTTTAAACCAGATTTGAACTGGGACAGGGGCATAGCCAGGCTCGACAGAGATAAAGTGGCACCAACCCGCTGGGAAGCAGCTCTGAGGAGAAGGCCCTGGGGGTCCTGGTGGGGACAGCAAGCTGTCCATGAGCCAGCAGCGTGTCCTGGAAGCCAGGAATTGTGCCCTGGGGTTCATTAGGAAGAGCACTGTCAGTAGGGGTGATCCTGCTCCTCTACTCAGCCCTGGTGAGGCCACTCCTGGAGTGCCATGTCCAATTCTGAGCTCCTCACGACAAGAGGGACACAGAGCTCCTGGAGAGAGCCCAGTGCAGAGGGACACAGATAATGAAAGGACTGGAGCATCCCTCTTATCAGGACAGGCTGAGGGAGCTGGGCCTGGGCAGCCTGGAGAAGACTGAGAGGATCCCATCAGTGGCTGAGTATCTGCAGGGAGCCTGCCAGAGGATGGAGCCAGGTTTTTGGTGGTGCCAGGCAATAGGACAAGAGGCAATGGGCAGACACTGATGCTCAGAAGTTCCACCTGAACATGAGGAAGAACTTCTTTCCTGTGCAGTGACCGTGCACTGGAACAGAATGTGCAGAGAGGGTGTGAAATCTCCCTTAGGGAGATGTTCCAGAACCATCTGGAGGCAATGCTGTGTCCCATGTGCTCTGGGGTGGCCCTGCTCGAGCAGATGTCCCACTGTGGCTCCCTCCAGCCTGACCCAGTCTGTGATTCTCTGCAATGTTTATATTCTTCTCTACCTGTACCAGCTAACACAGTTTGTTTGGGGCTTTTTTCTCACATAATATAAAACATGCTGTCTCTAGCTGAGAAGAGCTGTGTTTCCTCTCAGGAAAGTTAATGTGCTGTACTAGCATTCTGCTAAACATCTGGGTTTCAGTAGATTTTCTCCACATACACACACACTGAAAGTCATGTAAGAATTTATTATTTATTATCAAAACAATAAATTTCCAAGGAAATGTGAAATGGTTTCAAATCAATTGTTCTCATTGCAAAGAAGAAACTGTTGAAGAGGCAACCTTAAATATAATAAATAATAAATACTAAGAAAGTGGCTTTACAATAAACTGGTTGTTTAAGGATTAATGTAGCATGTTTCAAGTAGTGATTTATGAATGATGAGTCAGACTTGGAATTCAGAACTTGCTTGACAAAGCAGAGCAAACAATATAAAAATTTTGCGTGATTAAATTGCTTATTGCTTAAGCTCAATTTACGATTAGCTTTTGTTACATTATTCCAAAATAAAATCAAATCCAGATTCAAAGCCTGGACCTTCTCTCTCTTGATCTGAATAGAGACAAGTAGAATCTGCATTCTCTAGCCTCGAGATGCTCATTAAACTTAGAGTTTTCAGTGAGAAACCATAGAGTTATGAAGGGATTGAATCAACAGCTGGCATTTCTATCAGCTTTGAGCTTTCATTTAAGACATTTAATTTTAGTGCATCTCTGATGATTTCATTTGTCTAGCTGTAGATAATTTGCTCTGTATCATTTCTAATATAGGTCAGGGTAGCACAAAGTGTGTCTCACTCTCCTTTGCAGACACAGCCAGGTCATGTATTTTAATGTTCTTTGCAATTGCTTACTTAGAATGGTACTGTTAAAGTCAGGTATTCCATTTATTCTTACACAATTTATTTTCTGTCTTGTGTTTTTAAAACTCCTGTCTCCTCTGGAACCTGAAATTTCCTAAGAAGTTGAAGAAAAACAAAGAAACTTGTTGCATAATTTGCTAATTCTTTACTTGGTTTTAATTTTATAAGCCTTCATTAAGACAGTTTTTCTTCTCCAATATCTATTTATTAACTTTTCCATTTCCTCACAGGATGGCTTTTGTATAACTCCCATTTTTCTAACCGGTCTCAGAATTTTTCTGTTCTTTGATATATCAATTGAAAACTGATTTGCATATTGAAACTAGATGGACTTCTGAAGTAATAACCTGTTTTTAACTTGTTTACTTTTTGGTTTTTTAAACTCACTGCTTTCTGAGGGCTTCATTGGGAGTTTCTTAATTGACTTAGGGGACACCTAACTCACATTTTCATTGAATTCTTCCCCAAGTTGGTGTCTGAACCGTAATCCCAAGAATCTTGTGGTGAAGAAGGATCTGTTCCTCTATAAGAAGAAATTAATTTCTTGTACAGCACAAGTTTTAGTAGGTACAAGTCAAATGACCCACTTAATTGCAAAATTAATTCAGCCTTCAATGGAACAGGTTGGAATACATCTCCACTGCTTTTACCAATTCTCTGTGGTAATTCCAGCTGATGTCCAGGCATGTGTCTTGTATGGATTTTGGATATGCAGTTGTATGAGAACCCTGCTCCCTTCAGTCCCCATGATAACATGAGAGGGTAGACTGAGATTCTTTCTTCTTGCTTTTATTAAATAGACTCAGAACCGTATGAAGCTGATGGCTGACAACTATGAGGATGACCACCTCAAATCCTCATCCCATTCCAACCAAACCAACCACAAGCCCTCCCCTGACCAGGTAATGTCTCTCTCTTTTTTTTTTTTTTGTTTTTAAAGTAATTTTTACTGTGGGGGCTGATGCTTTTGTGTCATAAGCAGTTTTCCCTGACATGCTTGCAGTACCTCAGAACAAAAATAGCATTTCAGAACTCAGTTAGAAACCAGAACTGGATGTTGCTGTTGTGTTGGCTTTGTGTAAAGCTCCTGAAATGTGAATGAACAGTTCCTGGTACCAATTGTTGTTAGGTGGGTGGAGAGGAGGAGGGAGGTAGAAAAGGAACAAAAACTTTCCTCCAATGCGAGACTCGAGTCCTGTATGACATATTCAGGTTTTAGTAGCTCAGGTTCACTGCTTGAGTGTGTGGAGTGCCCAGGGGAGTTTCTTGTCTTCAGCAGCAGGAAATGGTGCTGTGGGATCAGCTTTCTGCTCTGTGGATTGCACACGAGCAGCTCCCTCCATTCCCCACGAGGAAATCCCGGTGCCAAATGAGCACAGACTGCTCCCTCCCAAACTCAGTGGGCCATGAGCTGAAGGGAAATCAATTTACCATCTCCAAAGCAGTGAGGAGCCTCCTGTGGCATTTACAAAGCACAGCCGTGTGCTTGATAACTATTAGAGAGATTAACCATCCCATGGGCAGCTCAGAAAATGCCAACATAATTGCACATCCCATGCTGCAATCTCATCCACTGCAGTTTAATTAAAATATTAGCCATCATTAATCACTGCCTCAATGGAGTGAAGGAATGCTTCTCTTTGCCCTCTGACTCATGTAGAAATTGGTGAGATCTGAAGGGAAGCATCTCACACTAGACCTTTAAGTGCCAGCCTAATGATACACAGAAATAATGAGTAAAGTACAAGAGGAAAATGGCAAAAGCCAATTACTTATTCCCCCTGCAAAAAGAGATCTTGAAAGGTCTCCATTCATGTCTGCATCCAAAGAAACTAACAGAAAAAATCCCTTTATCAAGGGAGCTTCCCTTTGCATGTTAATTAGTACCTTCCTCCACTTTATGTTGACTGGCTTGAATTTTCTGCAGTGTGCTTGGAAGGTGTTGGTGTTTCACCCTCCTTTTTCAAGAGGGGTGAAATTGTTAATACTGAGAATTATAAGGATTTCCTAATTTCTTAGGAATTTTTTAAATTAATTTTTCTTAATTTGCCACAAATGTTAGAATACCTTTTGTTTCTACACTGCAGTCTAAAGAGCTGAAGCCATTTCCAGCAGGTAACTTTGGTACATGCTTGCAGATGAATGCAGCGTAAATGAAATGAAAAGATAATATGTAAAAACAAAATCAAATTTAGATATTCTAAAATCAGAAATTCTTGCAAAGACCCTGCAGGGAAGGGCAGTAAGGAAGAGAGGGGTTGGGAAGAGGCTCTGCCTGCACTTCCCCTCTGCAAAGGGACATTTTTGGAAGCTGCCAAAGCCTGCAGGAGAGCGAAGGAAACCGAGGTAGCTCAGAGTACTGCGTGAGGAATTGCTTTGTACTGCTGTTTGTACTTGCCAATGTGCTTTAAATACTAACCAAGTCTTTCTTTCATTCCCATGCTGCTCTGGGGCTCTCCTCCCACTGCCACCTGTGCACCTGTAGGATGAGGAGGAGGGTATTTGGGCATAACCAGTCAGATGCTCTTAGCTCAGCCATTTTGTTCAGAACGGTGAGAACCATCCTCTCCTGCCAACAGCAAAGTTCCCAGAGTCACTCCCACACCTCCCTCGTGTGCCTTGTGAGACCTGGCTGTGCTCCCTCCCCTTGCTCCCTGTCTGTGCATGAGGGGGGTTCTCACCTGCTTGTGTGCACTTTGTGATTCTCTTCTTCTAATCATCCCATCACTGTTTCACCCTGCTGTGGGGAGAACTTTCCAGGGCATGGAATCGAGTTTCTGTGCCAGCACGAGAGAACAGGAAATGTCTTTCATATCATTTAGCATTGACCTCATGGAGGAAATGTTTTCAGTCGGATTCTTGTTCAAAGCTGTTTGCTCCACAGCCAAACCTGTGTGTGCTTTTTCCATCCTGGTTGGTAAAGAATTGGCTTTGAGATAGATAATGTTCCTCCTGAAAATAATGTTCCTCCTGAAGGTAATGTTCCTCCTGAAGGTAATGTTCCTCCTGAAGACAGTGTTCCTCCTGAAGGTTTTAAGCATGTTGAGATCTGCTGCTGAGATTGCTACCGTGCACACTGTCCAACCTAGTCACAGATATTTCTCAACTCACAATACAGGATTCTCTAGATGGACCAGGAGTACAAATTGTAAATGTGAAGGCAAAGGGGAATTTCCCCTTAACCTTCCTCCCTCCCTTCCATCTCCCTCATTCTTTCAAAACAATGGGGGAGAAATTAGGAGCTGTTTTTCATTTAAAGTGCATTTTGTTTCTCTGTGTCCACAATTTTTCCTTTTCTGCTGTCAAATTGTCCCCACAACAACTCCCATTTCCAAAAAGGAGGACACTAGAGAGGACAGAGCCTTTCTCCTCACACCTGTTCTTTAGCAAAAAACCTTTTACTGGCCAGGAGTCAAATACTGACTATGACACTACAGTACATGGGATTCATTTATGCCTTGGAGTATCAGTTTTAAAGCAGAATACATTTCTCTGAAGTACTTGAAGTATTTTAAAGGACTGATGTCAGTATTTTAAAAATCTACATGAAACTTTTTCCTCCTTCACTTATCCTTTCAAGAAACAAATATTTCACACGAGTTTCTGTGCACTTTTTCCTAAGAATTTGATTTTTTTCATATCAGCTATTTGAAAGAAAACTGAAAAATTCTGTGGAAATCCTGGACCCTTGAATTTCTGAAAATTGTTGCTTTGTATTAGATTTGTAAAACATTCATGAGAGAATAAGGAACTCTCATCTCTTGCACTCGCTCAATTAACTACAGACTTAGAGTCTGTCTGACTGTATAGATCAAATCCCTCTTTTCAAGCCAACCATCTGAAAAATTTAATCCAACTGTGACAGTGTCAAACTTGAATTTCATGCCTTGGGGTTTGAACTGAGAAAATCTCTTCAGTGGACAGATTGATAAAGTGCTTCATTAATTTCCACTCGCTGTTGATTTCACATTCTTTTTGAATCACCGCTCTTGCAATGGTTGTGCTCTCGGGGATGTTGTTAAATGCTTTAGAGATAATGCTTGTAAAAAAGATCAGCTGAAGCACAGAAATTAAACAGGAGAGATCAGGTAAGTAAATGATGAAAAGGAAGAGGACACTCGCTATGAAGGTAGGAATAATTCTGATTTTCCTTCTGGAGCAAACCTGGAGTTTGTGTAGAAAACAATGAGGGAAAGATCTGTCTCTTTCCTCTCCCATGTGCTGATGCATTTAAGAATGCAGCTGTGCTATGAGTATGGCTCTTCATAGTTTTCTGAATTAATGGGTGGCTGACATTAAATACAGCTTCTCTCTCCAGTTGGAGGCACTTTCCTCAGGAAAGCTGTTACAGAGCATCCCAGTCAAAATAAAGAGTCAGCCAGCAGCCTTGCCTTCCACACACACACCAGAAACTTGTCAGCCTCGAGATTGTCATGCATACATCAGCAGGGAGGGTGTAAAGGTGATGGATGCTTCCCAAGCCAGTTATTCCCAACAGAGCACATGTTTTTACTGTGATATTCCACGTTCATTTAAAAAAAAACCGCCCTTATTCTCTTTGTAAAAGCTAAGATGATGTAAGTTACAGAGTCGCTGACCTCCATGTGTTAAATTAAATTTATGTATTACAATGATAAAATGTAACTAATAGCAGGGGACTTGGCAATAAGTTTGTTTTTTAAGGTTCCTTCAGGTCTGTGGATGGAATCGCCTCCAGTCAATACTGAAGATTAAATGGAGACCAAAAAACTATGTACAATAATTAACTACATTATTTTATTTTTGTAGTTTAGGTCTTAAGGTTTTTCCCCTCCAGCATTCTGGAATTGACTTGAATTTAATATTTACTTATGCCAAGTCTGTACATGACAGCATTATCAGGTAGAGGTCCCCTGAAATGGAGCACTGTTCATAAACATCTGCACCCTGCCTGTAATTTCTGAGGATGGTAGTTTACATTTCAGTTTGTAGTTCAATGTAAATACCATCTTTCACCCTGAAATAGTCCTTCCTTGCATTTTTCACTAGGCTCATTTCCTTGCTGCCTGGATTTCTTATGACTCCTTTTATTCCCCAGATGGAGCTCTATCCCCCTCCACATCCCAGTCAGTTCCAGTGTGCTTTCACATCAGGATGCTCTTGGGTCTCTCTCACATGCCAAAGTGCTCTGGCCAATGGCTTAATTAGTTATTACTCCCTTTGATCTAGAATAATAAGAATTTACACCTGAAGAGATCTAATACATGCAAAAAGACAGGTGTGTGTGTGGGTGTATCCTCTTGTAAACCTGTGCCACGGGGAAAGGAGAAAATTTCCATACAGAAATTTCCCAAGCTGCTCAATTCATCCAGTTGTCTTGTGAAGCACAGCTGTGCTCCCTAAAATGGGAGAAAGAGTGGGTGTGGTTCAGAAATCTGCTTCATCCAGTAAAAAAAAAAAAAAAATAAAAATATTATTATGTTTATTCGAGCAACAGTGGAATGGTCAAAGAGATAGTGGGGAACTGGAGTGCATAACAACAGAGATATTTCAAGATGATGAAAATATTGGCAATTCCTATGACTGTAAAAATATTGTAAGACAAAAATGGTTCTTCTTTGTGACATTTTTCTTTAATACTTGAGCTTGGCAGGTTTAACTCAGAAGCAGTAAGCATTGTGAGCTAGGCACTGAGGGCACTCACAAAATTCAGATTTCAGAGGTGATGTCTGTGGTGGAAAGAGGGGGTAAGTCATTACAGGAAAATATTTGGCTAATCTCAAGGCTTAATGTAATCTTTGCCAGAGCAGTCAAACCACGTGAAGTTCTCATTGGGATCACTACAACACTGAAAGTGTCTATTCTTTGGGAAGCTTCTTTTTCTACATTATTTCTCTCAATTTCTGATTAAATTTTAGTGAAG